ACACTCCAGGACCGGAGGCACTGGTTAACATGAAGTCCTTCTCCCGCTGCAGATCCTCCTCTCCCGGCGGAGACAACAGTAGACCCCGCTCCTCCTCCTCTCCACCGAAGACTCTAGGCACGCCCCCTTCCACTCTCCGGTGCCGGCCTCCCCCGCCTCGGGCACAGCGTTCCCGGAGCCGGCGTTTCCCGCTCACCCCCGCACACCCGGTGGCTACACCGGAACCCCCGGCTCCGTTCACTTCCGCTGCAACCTCGGCGGGCGCAGTGTCATCATCAGCCGAAAAGACAGGGGGCTGGACAGGCGGATCCCTACCAACGGGTCTGCACCATCCTTCACCTCCCATGCCTTCCTCCCCGGCTCGACTGCCCTTTAGCTCCCACCTTCTCCTGTTGTCCAGTAAGTCTCTTCTCCACCGCAGCCCATCTCTTCGCTGCAAAGTATTCCTCACACTGTTTAGCCAAATGGCCTGTTTTTTTTACAAATGTCACAGAGCTTCCTATCTCTGCACTCTCCCGAGGGATGACCCTCTTCTTGCAAAATCTGCACTTAGGTCTCAGTTCACAGTCTCCACTTGTATGGCCATACACAAGACATTTCCTGCAGTAACTAGGCTGCCCTGGGTAAAAGAGAAAGCCCCTCTCACCTCCAATGGTAAAGACTGCAGGGGGCTCCCGCACCCCTCCTACACAGTCAGGATCCATTTTAAACCTTCCCATGAAACGATACTTTCCAGACCAAATCCCATATCTGTTCAGGACTCTTTCTCCCCCTCTCAACTCATCACAGTAGGTGTGCAAGAATGCCCACACCAGATGTAAGTCCGCAAAGGGGTTGTACATATGCACAGTTATTACCTTTTCTTCTTGCATGAACAGTGGTGTTACCTCAAACTTTCCCATGACAGCAGAATCCACAGCTCCTCTGGCCTTCTCGTACGCATTCCAACACACCCTCGGTAGATATAAAAGTAATGTCGTAAATTCTCTGCTGCGGAAAATCCTGCAAACACATAATATCCCTTACCGCCAAGCCTAGGGAATCCAGCAACAAATCCACCACGACCATCCTTAAATCCACGACATCCTTAAATTCCGGCTTCACCGTAAAGCGCAGTGAATCTCTCATTCCACGAGTCCCCATGTTCGACACCCCAATCGTGTCTCGCCTCCAGATAGAATAACACCCGGAGGGTGCCCCTAAAAAAAGGGAACCCCCGGCAGCTCTCCCAGCAATAGACCAAACCACCAAACACAGGTAACAGCATACAAGACCATTCGGCAACAAGTGTCTGTGCAGGGCTTTTTAAATAGCCCGCCCTGCACCTGACAGGTGCAGCCTAGGTCCTAGTGCCTGCCTAGTACTGTCAAGACGACGGGTGTGCCTGGGTCCTAGTGCCCTGCCACCTACACATCTTGGCAGACACCTACGCCTGTGTAGACCCATGGGTCGCGATGGTCCCTGACAGCATTATTATGGTGAATACTTCCAGAATGCAGTTCTCCTTTCTTGCAACTTGTAGCTACTTCAGACTAAGTCCTTTTGATTCTTTTACTCCTGGTGCACTGAATGCTGGTAGATGTAGTTTGGGCCAAAAAGATGCCACTATCATTGCAAGCAAAAGAAAACTACAGGACCCGGTGTGCCTGAAGGCAGGAGGGGCCATTTATAATAGGAAAGCTCGGGGGCAGTTGGGAAAAAGGTTAAACCACGGTGTGTGAAGAAGGAATACTTTGTGCTGCATTGGTCCTGTTTCAGGAGATGCAAGGGGCAGTCTGACAACTCCTGCTGTGGTCAATGGGGCCCCTGGGACCCTCTGATAGGGGATCATGCGTTCAAGCTGCCCCTGTGGGATCCTCAATCCAAACTCCAAAAAGCTGTTTCTATGAAAAAGGTACCAGGGGCATCTGTCCCTTTATCATGGGGCCCCATAACTACTAAAATTGTTGGCCCCGCGCCCTATTGGTTTTGCAGTGCCCTTTGAGTTTCCAAAAAAAGGTCAGTCCACCCCTGGGCTCCCTGTGACAAGAGAGAGAGTAAACAGGTGTGGGCAATATAGGAGCAGATACTTCACTGTGCTGCATTGGTACCCACTCGGGAAAGAGGACGACTGGTTCAGGAGAGCAAGGGGATCAGCTGCAGACTCCAGCTGGACTGAGCTAGAAGCAGAGTGATCTCCTGGTGTGGTCAAGGAAAATTGTTTCTCACCGGAGGCCAGCCCCATTGCTTGTGTCGCAGGCAGGGAGCATCAGTGTCACCGACTGAGTTCCGAAGACCCAGTCTAGCTGCTGCTAACCAGAGTCCATTCAAAAGACCAAGCGTCATCATATCTCAGACTGTTAACCTTTGTCTGGTCCCTCCTTTGTCAGAGCTCCAATGAGTCCACTGTTTGTAGAACCAACTCTTTGCAGGGAAATCCCCCCCCCCCCCTCCTTAACAAGTGTGCCACCATCTTCAAGGGCCTTAACGTAGCAGGCAGAAGACTAACTTTAAAGACTGTACATAATTCACCTGCTATAAAGCATGGTTTTCGGCATATTCATATTTTTTTGTTTCGTTAAGGCCTAGGCTTAGTTTTCTCACCTCAAGTGTCCATGGTCAATGTAGCCCTGTTCTGCATTGGTACCAGTCTGCTATTAACTTATGTTGCTCATTAAATGAGGAGAGCTATAATTTATTCTGGTTTGGTTTGATTTTAAAGTAACACTCTAGCCATATCAAGTGAAGCCTTATTGTGTATGCTGCAAAGAAATTCTCACTGTTATACTCTTTTGTCTGAACATTATTTGATAATATACTTTGTTACCTTACCACAAGGTCATTTCAGAGTGACCATAAGGTATTAAACATTAATCTTTACCTTTTGACCTGTATACATGAGGTGTAAGGGGGGCAGAGGTCTTTGCCAAGGTCAAGGTAAGAAAGGAGGACCCAATATAATCAGCAGATCCTGCGGGGGTAGCGCTACACTACCAGGTAATGTGCACTTCTTTACCTAGGCAGCACTCTGGGTTGAGGGTGGAGGATGTTGTTGGTGGCATAGTGGAATTATATTATCATTAGACAATGCATTATTGGATTTTTACTTTTTATCGGAATAGATTCCCTCAACTGGTATATATATCTGCTGAATGACTTTCCTTCTTTTGACATGCAATGAGGACTGGATCTCCATCGTTAGAGCCAGTAGGAACACAATTTTTGTCACCCAAAGCACAGAACACTCTGGTGACAGTCAGCCAGTTTTCATTTTGCTGTCACCTAGTAGTGCTTGAAAATGTAACGTGAAAGGGGGTATAATTCCTGCCACGGCCACAAAGCAAAGCTGAAGGGGGTACAAGTTGGGGGGGGGGGAGTGGTGGTAAAAGCATGGTTCAATTGTGGCATTTTACAGCTCCTCAACCACTATTGTGAATGAATCCCTTAGGATCACAGCAATCTTTCTGGTAAGATTGCATCCCTCTCTGGTATGATAGCTACAGGTAACCCACTACACTGTCTGACCATTCGTCATTTACCAATTTCAGGAGTAATTTTTACTAGTACTAGAATTTTGCCTCCAGGATGGTTAGAAAAAAACAGTGTGACAGTCTCTAATCCACGTCTCCAATCCATCCACACCAGAGGTGTAATCAGAACCTACAGGGCCCCGGTACAGGAAATGATGAATGGCCCCTCTGACCTCTGATCCCAGGGCCCTTCCCACTGATCCTAAGAACATTTACTCCCATCGCAGGGACCTTTATAACGGTGCTGCATTGGGACCCCTTCACATGTTCTGCAGCAGGCCCCCTTACTGCCGTCTTTGATGTAAGGAAGAACGCTGGGAACTCTGATTTAAGGAAGAACACTGGGAACTCTGATTTAAGGAAGAACGCTGGGAATTCTGATTTAAGGAAGAACGCTGGGAATTCTGATGTAAGGAAGAACGCTGGGAATTCTGATTTAAGGAAGAACACTGGGAACTCTGATTTAAGGAAGAACACTAAGAACTCTGATGGGAAACACTGCAGACTCTGGTGTAAAGATTAACTCTGATATAAGGGGGTCCCCACTTACATCATAGCTCCCAGCATTCCCCTTTAATCAGGGTTCCTAGAGTCCCATTACATCAGTATCTGCAGAATTTCCACTTACTTAAGGGGGAGCTCTGTGTACTGTAATGTAAAGTGGAACTCTGATATATGGGGTGCTCTGGGAACCCATGATTGTCAGTGCTGGACAGTCTGTTCACAACTGCAGCCAGCAACCCTGCCATGGAGCCACAGTCCGGGCTCTTGCCCACCCCCACAGTGACGGAAAACCAGGGCCTGGTCACAAGTGTGACTTTTGTGACCTTGGTATTTCACCCACTGATCCACACAAATGTTGCGCCAAGACATTGTATTCTGACAGCAGTACCTATCACTGTCATGATACACTGATCAGTGGCTGAAGATGTTTGGTTGCAACCACTGAATGAGAATAATTTTCCTTTTGACAGAAGTTAATCAAACGATAGACTTCTGTTGAGCGGGGATGGCCACACACTGATTGAAATTCGTCCAGCCCCTGCTGAACCTACTGAATATCAATTAGTGTATAGTCAGCTTAACTGGGGAAAGTAAAGCTGAACCAGTTCAGCTTTACTGCCAACAACACAACAGCCCAAATTTTTGTGCTGCCATTTGATAATGGAATTTAAAAGACCAAAATGAGATTTCTCTGTACATTCCTGAAGTTTTTCATTAATAACTGGAGCTCTAGCAAGAGTCACGATAGGAGCCTTCTATAGCACACAGAGAATAGAAGCTCAGAAGGTAATAAAAGAAGATTTATTATGTATGATCTTCAGCAGTAGAATACATATTATTAATACAATGTGACCTTTGTCTTCTTTATCTATTCATGCAGTATTGTATAATGTCACCAGTGAGAATTTATATCACATCACATCACAGCATCCCAGTCCCCAGTAATTGCTCATGTGTCCCAGACAGCTGTAATATCCCACAGAGAGGGAATGCAACTCAAGCTATCACCACCTCATACCTGAATCACTGTGCTGGTGGCTTGACTGGGCATTGTCTGTACACACTGATAATTCTCCTAAGGTTCATGGGATAATGGTAGGTAGCAGGGGCGGACTGACAACTCATGGGGCCCCCCGGACAATAGGGGATCATGGGGCCCCTGTGTCCTTGCCCAAACTCAAAAAAGCCTATGAAAAAGGTACCAGGGGCATCTCATGGGGCCCCCTACTGATCCCGGGCCCTCGGGCAGTGCCCGAGTTTCCAAATGGTCAGTCCGCCCCTGGTAGGTAGATACAAATTGTCACTACTTTGTGAGGAAAAGTCCATTTCAAATTTTCATTAAAAATGTTCGACAACCTAGAAATCTGCATGCTAGTATGTTTATGCCACCACCAAATGTATGTATTTACCAGTTAAATATACAGTGGCAGGAAAAAGTATGTGAACCCCTTTGAATTAGCTAGTTTTCTGCAGTCATTTGCCATAAAATTTGATCTGATCCTAATCTAAAGCCAGCCATACATTATTATTATTATACAGTATTTATTATAAAGCGCCAATAGTTTGCTCAGCGCTGTACATTACAATGGGAGACAATACGTGAGACAGTACAATAACAATACAATGCGATACACGAGGGGTTCGAGGGCCCTGCTCCTTGGAGCTTACAATCTAGGAGGGAGGGAATAGTGGTACAGGAGGAAAAGCTGTGGGGAATGGAGTGGTAGGAAGAGTGGAGGAGTACATGGATTACATGGATCAAAAAGCTGTGGGGGATGGAGTGGTAGGAAGAGTGGAGGAGTACATGGAGTACATGGATCAATATTTGTCTGGTTCAGCAAGGGCAGGATGAATTTTGATCCATGTATGGGAAGGCTGATTGGACCCAAGTTGATCCATTGACTGACCTGGGTACAATCAGCCTGTCTGATGTTATTCATACAGTTACTGCCAGCAGCCATAGCCACTAGCAGTAATGATTGTGTACTGCCAGCCGGTAAGACTCCCCATTGGCAAAACACACTATCACTGTGGGAGGCATTCCTCCATGAACACTGACTGTGCTGATGGGGGAATCAAGCAAATTTCTTTCCTTCCACCTGTGGTGGAAGGACAGAAAATCAAATCATCTATGGGCTGCCTAGTCACAACAGTTAACAAACACAATGTGCATAAGCTGATCACATACGAAGACAGACATCAAGAGTAGGTGATCTGCATAAGGCTGGAAATGGGTACAACATTGCTCAGTATTAAGGCATCGGCCAGTTGACAGGCAAATTGTCTATACATGGTGACAGTTTAGTGCTGTAGCTACTCTGTGTCCACTCTTCTTACCATTGTAAAATCTTTACGTGTATCCAAAGCCAAAACCAAAAATTGAATACATTGCAGTTACTAGTGTGGGCTGAGTGGGCTGCAAAAAAAATTGAGGAGCTTGTGAGGAGGTCTTTGTACTAACTATATGATTTTAGTACAGCAATCTCCCCAATGAGCTATTGTGTTCTGACATGGGGACTTCTCCTCCCACAAGAACACACCGATCAGCACTCGCAGCCATTGGCTATGAGCACTGATTGGATGCTGATCGGCAGATGTTTTTCTTGCATGCCTATTCTTCAAAAGCTAAATGTTCAGCAGGCCTCTGTCGGACAGGCTGCTGTATACACGGGCCGAATATCACCCGGTTTTTCTTGAACTGGCCTGTACCAGCCGATATTTGGCCTGTGTATACCAGGCATTAGGATGAAATTGTTCTGTGGTTCTCAATGCTAACATGCAGGGCTGATAAGACTGTTTGAGATAACATTGCTGAGTGCATAGGATGTTACCATCTCACTGGATTTGTGGCCAGACAAGCAGGTATTTTCACTTACCGAGGCCCGTTCTTGCCATAGATGCCCAGCCTGAGAAAGTGTGCCATATCATGGCGATGTAATCTTAAACTGGTTGGAACAGCACAGTTGCAGAAACATAACATCCAGTTCTCCAGGTTTTGGAGTCTTAGAAAGAAGAGACCTGTCAAACATAGGCATCACCCTTATAGGTATTAACAGTGTGGGAATAGGAAAAGGTTTGTGTGCTCATGGCATGTCTCACTTCTGCAGCCTCCTTGAAAAATAATTTCAAAAATGTAAAATGTGGTCATATTTGTGAAAACAAAGCAATGTTGATAGTCTGTAATAAAAAAGAAAAGAAAAGAATTGTTTATAGGTTTTTCTCACTGTATATTGATGGTATTTTATAGATAATTTTGAATGCCCTTTTGTTTTTGTAAGCATCTCCATCTCAAAGAACAATTTAAGGCAGCAATAAGCACACTTTCTTAAACACATGGTACATCTTTAGTAGCCTTGGATCAGTTGACTGTGTAATAGGCCCAAGGGTTCTTCACAGTTCATTAGAAATGTAATAGTTTTTCAATTTGCAGCTGACAGAGCAGTGAGAAATAGCACAGTCTTAACAATATGCTGCAAACTGGATATTAAATCCACCAAATTATAATTTTGTAGAATCTCATGGTTTGTTTTCAGTCCAGCCCTTAACATTAATAGACCTTATTGTGGTGTAGTGCTACCCTCTGGAGGGCTGCTGAGGTTTTTGGTCCCCCTAAGCTCTGCACAGCCATACAACATGCATTTTCCACACTTGCATCCACAGCCAGTAAACAGTCAATTATCTTGTTTTTTGTTGTTTTATTAGGGGTTAACGACTTGGATGGGGTCTAGGGGTATATGGGGGTGTAGAAGTACTCACACTGTCCTGTTCCTGTAGCTTTGAAGGTTGAAGCTGCTTTCAGGCCTTATGCTGGGCTGGCTCCTTCCCTGCTGACAGACTGTCTGTTCCCAATAGACTGTGGGACAGTGGAGGTCTTTCTTTCCAGATTCTAGCCTTTAGGCAGACCCTCCTCCTCTGGGGCCCCCTCTCAGGCACCACACCAGCAGCACTTCCTCACTCCATCATCCACTGGACTCCCCCGTTGACCAGGCTCTCTCATATATAAAGGCTGACCTTGCCACCATGCCAAGCCTCCTGCCTGGGGATTGCCCAAATTCCTCTAAGTATGCAGATCAGCTCCTCCTCACCCCTTCTTCAAGTTTCTAGAGCAGGGGGAAATATCAGAGAACAGACATGCAGAGCCCTCCAGCATTAACCTGAAGTACCCTCACTGTCTCACTCCCAGGCTGACTCATAACCAGGCTTATAGCAAGCCTCTAACTATGCACTCAGAAAAAAAATATCTTACAATAGAGGGTGTTTCATCCACCCCCACTAAAAAACAGCCATGTCCTCATTGGTTGGGAAAAACAGAAAAAATGGCTCCTGTGCTCAGGAGAAAAGGCATCCCATATAAAAACATGGAGGGGAAAAGGGAATAAACTTGGAAGGGGTTATATACAAATAAATAATTTGTATAAAAAACCCAGCAGTGGTCTCCAAACTGCGGCCCGGGATCTGAATGTGGCCCTTTGATTGCCTTTATCTGGCGCTTGGGGCACTATTCCTCCCATTAACACCAAAATGGGGCATAATTCCTGCCACTGACACCAACATTAGGGCACTATTCCTCCCACTGTCACCAGTAATGGGGAACTATTCCTCTCACGGATACCAATGATGAGGCATTGTTAGCAATGCAAGGACATTTTCTACTCCTACTGGCCACAGTCTGGCCTTTCTAAAGTCTGAAGAACAGTAAACTGGCCCTTTGTTTAGAAAGTTTGGAGACCCCTGATATACAGCATCAATATATGTACTGTACTGTATGTACAACCAACTACAGCTCCCTGCAGCTAGAAAACATAAACAAGAACATATGTACAATAGGACAAGTTGCATGAGAGTGGAGCACCTTCTCCTGGAAGGAAGCCCTCCATAAGCAAAGTAAGTCCAAGATCCAAGTCTTGAGCAGGAGGATGGCCGTCCATGATGTATCTGCAGAAACAGAAAAATAGAAACACATGCCCTCATGCTATCTTATCTGGATAAATTATTTCTAGCAGCAGGGGGTTATCATCTTGCCCAGAAAAGAGACATAAGGCACTTCAGCAAGAGTTCTTAAATAAAGAAACATAATGGAGGATCCCCTCCTGGCTAAAAAAACATGTACAAGTTCTAGGCCTCACCCAGGTGTTTTGTTTCCTCTGAACAGCATCTCTGAGCATAAGGAACGACCTAGTGCATAGCGTATAGCAAAAAAAAGGAAGGCATCGGCAGTGAGTCCTTTGTATATCCGGTGAGCTAGAATCCTGCATCAGCCTTTTTAGCAGTACATTCTGGGGCTAAACAGTCTAATAACTTTACCACCAGGCTTCTGGACAGCAAACAAAAATTCCAATTTGGCCGCCCAGCTTTAATGACCATTACATGGTCCTAGTAAACGGCCCGCCCCAGACTCACCATTCCCGGGTAATATCCTGAAATCTATCCCAGGCGTCTTGGTTGTGAGACCCTGCAAAAGCTTAGGAATGTGCATGTAGTTCCAGACCAGTTCAGCTTCCCACTGTGGTCTGGAGGTCTCAACAATGTCCATTACATCCTGTGGGACATCCTGGGGGACATAAGGGTAGTCCAGTCCCCACTCAAGAACAACCCTTTTTTGGATCTCTCTTTGAAAACATGAGAATTTGGGAAGCTCACACTTCCTGCCTTGTCCATGATACATGCAGGATGGTGGAGAATGTATTATTCACTGTTTAAAAGAAGAGATCTCGGCCTTGGTCCTGGCACAGGGGCTTGAAAGTCATGACTGGACCTGTGGTTACATTTGGGTTAGCTCTAACTGTAGCTCCTTAGCATGAAACAGCTGCTCTACTCTCCCAAGTCCTCCAACTAACTCTGGTGTGGTAGATCTTTCTGACAGTCCCGTCATTGATTCAGATTCTTCTGGAGTGTCCCCCCAGTCCCATTCCTTCTCTGAGTCACTCTCTGGAGACCACTCGTCACAGTCTGCCTCCTGGGGCCCAAACTCTGCCTGCAGTCTGGGTGACCCCCAATCTATCCTTCCACCATTGCCACTCCCTACTGACTCACCTGAAGATGAGCTGTCTTCATAACTGGGCTCTTTACAGGTGGGGCTTACAAGGCATGTGGATCAGGAAGGCTTCTTCAGGACACTTGCTGGCTCCTGCTGTGTAGCACTGGTGGGCACCAACCCTTCAGCAGCATCACCAGGTTAACGATAAGTGGCGGTAGGCT